AATGACTGTTCCCATCTGGTTCATGGCCAGACTGTAGATTGAGTCTTTGTTCCCGCTGAGTGACGAGGCTGCAGGAGACAAATTACAGTGAGTACAGTGAATTTATAGACTGTACGGTCAGAACCGGGCTCACAGAGACAAACAATACTTACTGGTGACAGTGTTGTTGGAAGCAGTGAGTGCTGTTAGTGTGTTCACATCCCAAAGGAAGATCTGCCGGTCCAGACCTGCCGAGGCCACGAGCTCCTTGTCCTTAGCATAGGCCAGAGCTTTCACGTAGTCCTTGTGTGTTCGTAACGTCGACATGCAGAAGCCTTTGTGCGCGTTCCAGACTTTGACTGTTGTATCTGATGATGCAGATATCACTGAAGATGGAAAACACAACAGTTACAGATGTCAAACAATGCTTTCATCATCAAAAGAAAAATAGACATCAGGATCTCAACTCACAAGTTTTTCCATTGCAACAGAGGACTATGTCATTGACCCAGTCTGTGTGATGCTCCATCGAGGCAATATATGGGTCCTGCTGCAGTGACAGAGAGGGGAAAAGAATACAGTTGAGAATAAATTAGAGTGGGAATACATAAATATAGATAACGGTTTACTGCTTTGGCACATTTCTTCTATGTTTGTCAGCGACAACAACACATTTCTCCTGAAACAGCTCACACATATAGAAAGCAGGAAAGTTAGGTTTTATTTTGTCGGACTGAAAGTAAGAGTATTACAGCCTGTTTCCAAACAATTTTGTCCTACATGTTTTCACTTCTGAGTTTCATCTGAAGCACGTTGGTGTCTGCTTTCTCACCCTAACCTCCTGCTGGATTGCTTTAACATAACAATTATTTGGCTAATGATTTAAAGAGATGTTGACTTAAAAGATCATGTTAAATAAGAAGGAAATAATTATTTTGGTTTGGCGGCACGATACATAAGCCTATGTAGAACAACTAAAATGTTTATAACCCAGCACATTGGACTCAATCAACATCCTATCACTCCTTCCTGTTTGGCATTTCCTAACAATGAATTTATCGATTTGACCAGGAGTGATGTCATACTTCATGTTAACGCCTCCTGGTGGAATATGACAATCAGCTGGATTATTCACCGTGTGATGATTTACACATTAAAGCAATACTGAGAGTCAACGTTTCAACCCAAAAGAAACGGCTCTATTTTGATCAGAAAACTTAAATTGTGGTAAAATGCTTCGTTATTTGTCTAAATGTGCTGAATCATTAAAGTGGTCACACACACACAGAGATGCTCTGACTGCTGTGTGTAAGCATAATAATGTAAGCACGATTGATAAACTACTGTGAATAATTTAGGGAATGTTTTGGCAACTTCATCTTTGGTTTGAGAGATGAGCCACAGCAGATGTGTAACACTGTAGGAGTATGAGGAGCTCTACTTTGTGCTGGTAGACGCTCCATATCCGGATGATTGAGTCCCTCCCGGCCGTGAAGAGCCGGTTCAGCGCCGGGTCTAGCTGGAGTGCATTCACCCCGTTCCGGTTGTACTTCTCCACCTCATCTCTAATGACGTAGGACACCTGAAACACACAGAAAGAGCAGTATGAAGGCTGCGGTCAGAGCACCACCTCCTCTCTCCATCACAACACACCCACTAACTCGTGTGCGCGTTTAAACGAGCTGATGAAACATGAAGCATCGCCAAATACATTTAAAACAACTCTTACATTCATTTATTTGAACACAGGACACGCTGAATGCTTAAAACGGGCTGTCATGTGTCAGGTATACAGGGACAGGGGGCACCACGGAACCACCGAGACAGGTACGTTTTCCCAGCAAATAGACCGAGCCCACTGTCAAGTGTTGCTAAGCTAACACAAACGTTATGCTGGCAAATAAATTCATCTACGACAGTCAGTACACAATGTATGCCGGTTAATTAGCATGAAACCTCCAATGTAATCCAATATCCACGTTCTTAAATGTTAATAACAACAACATATCCTCATTCAAACGCCAGCGTTAGCAGATATTAATGCTAAGAACTAGCCACCGGAAGCTAAGCTAGCTTGGTTAGCCGGCTTGAGTCATGACTCATAACAGCAACACTGTCTTTTGTGGACGGTTCCCTCTGTCTCTGAAGTACAAGTCAAACACTTATTGTAGCTGCAGACTCTGGTGGTGCCGCTGTCAGAGACTTAGCAATAATGCAGCTGTAATAAAATACCTGTACTTTTCTCCGCCCAGCAGCATTCTGCCTGTGATGCGTGGCCATCTTGCATGTTGACAGTCAATTCATGTGATGCTACATCCGGGAAAAAAGAAAACATATTCGACTGAGCTTTATGGGTAATGTGGTTTTAACGCCGTCCTAAAGGTTTCTTGTTGGGAGGACGCCCCTCTCAGGATGGTCAGGTTCTGGATGACTTTTATGTATCTGTAGGAACCGGGATGAAGATATATAATATAAGATATATACAAAGATTTCCCATCTCAGGGGAAATGAGGGCGGGATGCACGACCATTCAAAAATACTACCAGGTTTCTAATGATACAAAGCTTAATGCAAATGGGTGAAGTATCCCTTTAATTATAAATCCATAAACCACATACTGTTACTGGTAAGTAAGGCAGTTTTTTCTTACCACTGTAACTTTCGCTGCTTTGTTAAAGTGCTCATAATGGATAGGCCGGGTCTTTGTAACATAGCAATAAGTAAGGTCTTTTACCTGCTTTTTGTAACATAACAATAAGTAAGGTCTTTTACCTGCTTTTTGTAACATAACAATGAGTAAGGTCTTTTTACCTGCTTTTTGTAACATAACAATAAGTAAGGTCTTTTACCTGCTTTTTGTAACATAACAATAAGTAAGGTCTTTTACCTGCTTTTTGTAACATAACAATGAGTAAGGTCTTTTACCTGCTTTTTGTAACATAACAATGAGTAAGGTCTTTTTACCTGCTCTTTTGTAATGTTAACAGACAAAGAGTAAGGTATTTTACCTGCTTTTTGTAAAGTGTCTTGAGATAACACTTGTTATGAGTTGACGCTATACAAAATAAATTGAATTGAATTGAAATACTGTCAGTCACAAGATCTCAATCCAACAGAGCACTCATAGTCTCATAGCACTGATAGTCACTCATAGTCTGGGGTACAATCATCTAGGTCACACAGACAGACACAACATTTCTTCAAGGAGTGTGTGTCAACAGGGAACCAGTACACATTCATTGAATATTAATTTCCCATTCCAACCTTGAAAATTGCACATTTTAAAGCGACAGGCCCTTGATAATGGTATTAAGGCATTTTTTAATGGCCTGCTTCACAAACTATGAGCTGTGAAAGTTGTGAGAGGATGTTTGGGACACATGAGAGGTGATTTGATGTCAATAAAATCAAAAATGAGAAATCTATTGAGATTATAACCTTGAAATGTGCTTATTTAAGGCAATATGTCATTGATAATGATGATTTGCAGCCCAACTACCAGCTCAGGAGCGCCCGCTGTGGGCAGCTCCGTCACTCTGACATCTCTCCATTAGTGCATGTCCATAAGATCCTGTTTGTGCATGTGTGTATATTTCAGCCTATGTTGCATGGTTAACAGAGGGAAACTGAGATTTAAACTCGTCCAGCTGTCTGTGCTACACTATGTTGATAATACTTTAAAGTCACCACCTGCAGTTTAATTGGAAATAAGGTAAGTATATTATAGTTTAAAGATGTTTTCAAAGTAAAATTGTGGAGTTTGGTGGCATAGCTACGTCTCAGTCAAGAAAGGAAACACTTTTAGTAAACAACAGCATGCTAATGTTATGAGCATTTTGCTATTTCCCTAGTTATTTGACTGTAGCACTCGGTTAAAAAATGTGAAAAACTGTTGTAAAGTTGACTTGCCTAAAAGTATTTGTGTTATTTGTGGGTGAATCTTATAGCTACATTAGAGGACAGTATCAGAAGGAAATACAGCCATTATACAGCCATTAGAGGTTAGTCAAATGTGCACATTTCTAATTTCTAATTTCAATACTTTGTACTCAAATGTCGAGATTTGGACTTGAGTTGATCCATAACACTACTTAATACTCAAATACAGAGGTTTATAGTTGAAAAAAGTGGTTTTAGGGTTTAGTTACTCTTTAATTCATGCCTACATTGTGTAACTACCTAAAGTCGTATCGATCGTGTTCTACTTCCAGATGATGGAGAGGAAAACGTCCCTGGTTTCGGTGTTCTGGTGCCTCATCCTCCGAGCAAACCTGCACAGCCCAAAACCTCCAGCCCTGAGTTACAGACCAAAATCTTCGTCCAATCAGAAATTCCTCTGTGACTGAACAGAAGGGCCTCTGCTCAGGTGGCATCAGTACAATGCATTTTCAGGTAAAAGAACACAAGCATTTGCTTTTGAAACTTCAAATTCTGACGTTTTACAAGTAATTTAATTCACTGCCGCTATATGCTATATACTCTTACCTAAACCAATAGTAGGCTAACTGTTTATTTATTAGTCTAATAGTGTTGGACCTGAGATCCGGAATAGGTCACAGCCCCAACCCATCCTGAAGTTCAGGGATCACAAAACAACACAATGTGAGATTGAGCACATAGGTCCTCATTTAACTGATAGTCAATAGGTTTTTAATAAAACACATTTCTGTGTTAAAACTTGATCTTTTGCACTGTTTTCCTCACTTTTTTTTTCTGACTTCTTCTGGAATGAAGATACATCCAAGGTTCAGCTGCCCTACCAAACAACTTCTGGGCAGATCCCTTTGCAAGTTAAAGATAGAGAGGTATGTACTGTTTGTGTGGAGCTTTCCATTTTAAACATGTGATGTGGTGTACATACAGGGCAGATTAAGTGGTGTAATGTTAATGTTACTGTGAGACTCTATCATATATTAACTTAGCCTACTTACTTAGTATGGTTAGCTGACAAAGTGTTGTCTGTGAATTTGTTTATTTGTGAATGTTTAACTAAGATTTCTTTTTATTGTTTGCATAGATGCCGAAGGGAGTACTTGAAGTTGGACTTGGAACAGCTTCCGGAAGAAAAAGGCATCTGTTCCAGTCACCTCATGATCAGCGACGAGCCTGTGACTACACCAGACAATTCTATGTCATCTTACCTCCCCCTAGAGTTCAGTCTGTAACTGCTGCAACCGGTCTGAGCCATTACATTCTGGTGCACATCTCTCATCTTTCCTACATCCTTCACTTAGATTTTTGACAATGAAGAGTATGACTGCCGGACTCCAGAAGACTGGCTGGCCTGCAGTGCTGATGGAAAAACTGTTCATGGAAAAGCCCTGCTGCCTACAGAGAACAACATTCCTTCTGGTAAGATTTCCTCAGATGTAAATCTTTTTTTTCAACACTGATGATCAGAATTCTGTTCTCTGAGTTTTACTTTCATATCTCTCATTAAGATGATCCTGAAAGCTCCCTGCTGGAGTACAGCTGGCATTTAGTTGCAGTTCTTGAATTCAGTAAGGAGAAATGCCAGTATCTTGTACAGAAGGTTCACCAAAACACTAAGCCGACAGGTAAAAAAAAAAACGTTTTTGTCTTTAAACACAGACAGAATTATTACAATATTTCTTTTATTTTTTTGTCTTCTAAATACTGTGATTATTTTTTTTACCATGTATTCATGCTTTCAATCTCACTCAGTTGCTTAGAGGTAAACACACTGCAAACAGACACTGGGCACTGGGTACCCAGGATTAGATTGTTATTCATTGCTGAGGACCCACGTGTATTTGTCGAACGGATCCAGTTTGCCCTGCGTTTGAGAGATAAAGTAGAGGCTCTGATTTTCTATCACTTGACTGTGGACTGCATGCCCACTTGGAGTGAAACACCGTCTCTTATACTGACAGTCTACAGCGTATCAAAACATACCCTTTCAACTCCTGGGCTCAGGCAAGAAATGTGAGTATAAGTGTTTAAGTGCTTCTGCTGTCATTCTCTCCTTATTCAGTTTAATATCAGTCCATCTGAGTTGAAATGTAAACCAACTACTTGGTTGAATAATTGAGATATCATGTGTACAGTGTGGAAAAGTGTTTAGGGGACCTGGAGATGGAGGTCAAGCTAGATTATGAGCGAACAATGAATCGCATGATCTTTGACAAAGTTGTTCAGAGCCAATCAGAGGATTTTTCACACATCAACTTGCCAGAGACGGAGTCTGTACCCGAGTCTGTACCCCAAAGTGGTAAGGCTGTTAGTCTTGAATCCATTACTTTGAGTTAATATCAAACAAATTAATTACCACCAAATACAATTGTTAACATTGTTTTGTATTTTCATTGCACAGGTTGCGTTCCAGTACCTTACTTTGACAATAAGAGAAAATTCTTTTTTTTGTCTTCCATTCCCTGCAAACAAAGCCCGAGGTGATCTGTGTGTTATCTACAATATGGCTGGAGTGCCACAAAGTAGCAACCATGAAACTGTTCAATGTCACTTCAGTCAAACCTCTGCAACTCGACGAGTTTGAAGTTATGCAGTTTCAAGTACACACTCAGGTATTTTGGTAAAGGGAATCTTTTATATATATCATACTGGGAGAAATACAACTGATCTTTAGAAGCAGTGGATCTATTTCTCCCTCTGCAGATAAACTTGTTTCTAAGAGAAAAGTGGATAACCACGCTGAGCAACAGCATCCTCTCCAAGCTTGGGGGTCTGGGCAGGGGCTCTTATAACGTCAATGAGTCCTGCTGGGACATGTACAAGTTTTCCAAGATGCCCAGACTGATGGCTGTGGTGCGCTTCAACATGCAGGACTCCCTGCGCTTCCTTGTGCAGGATTCAATGGCCAGCCTGACTCAGCTGCTTTTAGATGCCTGCCAAGATGTGCTGACATCCTCAGGAACTGGTCTGGGGAAACAACCTTATCACAAGCCCCTACAGGTAAGATAGTATGCACATCAATGAATAAAATGACAGCACATTTGCAATCAGATAAACAGCTAAGCACACCTTTGCACTCCTCTTCCATTGTATTTCATGAGTATACCTTTGAGCCTGTTTTATATTTTGTATGCTGTGCAATTGTAATGTGTTTGATGTGAGTAAGACATAACAAGTTACTTTCGGAATACTCAGTTTTGTGTTGGTAATTATAAATCATTCCCAAAAACAAGGCCAAAGAAGAACCCTCTGTTCCTGGTGGACTTGGTACTGGATCAGACTGGGGTCCATTACAGCCCTCCTCTGGAAGATTTTGAGCCATCCATCATTAACCTTTTTGACAAGGATATTTTGGTCACAAAAAAAAAGGTACCATAGCTTGAAAAGGTAAACTAAAATCTGCAATCACACGAGATACAGATAGTTGAATTAAAGATGTGAATATGAGGATGTGAAACTTGTTAACTGGGAGCTCCTTATCGATTGATGATAACAATCACATACAGAATATGCTCAAAGTGGCGATGATGTTGAGGATTAATTTGACCTCTCTTGTCCATGACAGTTTGTGATGAAAAATTTGTTATTCGGCGATGACCCGTTGCGTGACTCAGTGAGTTTGCAGGAATCAGAAGTATAGAGAGAAGGTCCACAGTGCCGTGAAACAAGCAGCCATTCCGCTCAGGGCTTACGCTGCTGAATGTGAGAAACACTTGGAGCTACACAACCTGGACATAGAAACTCATCTCAAGTAAGTCTGTCTATATTACTTTGGTCATTTCTCCTACAAGTGCATAGAGGTAGTAATTCTGGTTTATGTTCTACTCTGCTAGTTTTCCTCTATTAGTAGAACATTTCGTCTTCTCTTCCAGATTGAATACAAATGCAGAAATGACATCAAATAGTGAAGAGAGAGGTGGAACAGCATCTAAAAGACCAGGAATTAATCGAATACACCCCGCCAGCCTCGATTGTCATCGGCCCATTTGTAGTCCATGTCGAAGCTGTGCGTCAGGCTCTCGCAAACAAAAAAAAAGTCTTTGGCCAACGCTATGTTGGAACAGCTTGCTCAAAAGTTACGCAAGCAAGTTGATGATGTAAGTTATTTATTTAAAAAAGTTTATAATGTAGGGGATTTATGTTCAGTAAATGTAAACAAAACACATCAATTAACTTAACTTGAAAGTGACCCTCACCTGCTTATTAGCTTGCATGAAGTTTGTATCTTGTCTGTGTGTGTACAGGCGTGTGAAGAGTATAATGTAATTAGTAGAAAGTTGCGTGAGAATCCCAACAGCATTGAGGAACTGACTGAAAAGAGGGACTGGATGAAGCAAATCCCTGAACAGCTCAAGATTTACAAGGTTCAAAGGCAGAAACTGTCTATTCCAGTTCTGTTAAATCTGAATAATACATTTTCGAACAAATCTGCTTAATTTTTAATTAAAATGTCCAACAGGAACTCATTGACAAGACCCTGACAGATTATGATCTACTTGAAGAATTTGTCTATAGTCTTTCAAACAACGATTTTAACAGAAAGTAAGTGTTACTTCTTCAGGATAATTTAAAAACAAATCTGGTTAGTGTCATTTGGGATTAAGAGCGATTTGTTTGGTTGATAGTGAGTAGAGGGACGTGGAGAGTTATCAGTGTGATGCTTAAGTAATTTATCTGTGCAGATGCTCAGCTATTGGATGGCCACAAAGGATTATCAGCCAGATGGAAGTAGCAGGGATTCAAAATGTGGAGGATGAGGAGCGCTTCCGTAAAATCCAGCTGGTTGACCAGAACAACTTTGAGGAGCATCTGGATTCTCTACAGGTGAGCTGTAATATCTACCCCTCGTGTCAATAATTTAAAAATTCACATGCTCAGACCTTGGTTTAATTTGTATTGAAATTTGAAATTATTTCTAATTCCTCTATGTGAGTGGAGGCATGTATGAATCTGTCCAGATGTATGTCCTCAATCCCAAGTCTATCACAATGGGACAGCTCTATGGAGAGTATGACTTGCTCAAATAGAACTACAAATAGCAAACTACAGTACAAAGACAAAAACTCTGAGATTGACTTAACACTCACTTTGCTTTTTTGTCCATCCCTATAGGACCGATGGTATCCTCTCATCTCTCTACCTTCTTTCTTATTCTGCTGCTTGTGTGACTTAGGGCCCCTGGGCTGAGAACATAATGCACGCTGCAATGAAACAAGGTCATTGGGTCTTCTTCCAGAACTGTCACCTGGCTCCCAGCTGGATGCCCTCCCTGGAGAGACTCATTGAGAACATCGATCCAACAAAGGTCAGAACATCTGCATATGTATAATGCACACCCAGGTAATACTGTATGTTAGACAAACCTTTACTGACTTTACTGATGGGCACCACATTTATCTTAAACTATCAAACAGGTGCACAAGGACTTCCATCTGTGGCTCACAAGTCTCCCCAGCAACAAGTTCCCCGTCTCCATTCTCCCAAATGGATCAAAGATGACCATCGAGCCTCCAAGGGGAATCAAGGCCAATCTGCAGAAAACCTACCTGAGACTCACCATTGACTTTATCACCTCTTCAACCAAAGTCCTCACTCACAGTCCTACTTTTTAAATTGACTTTTTATTACACGCCCTGCTATGAAAACGATGTCCAATTATGTCTTCTGTATTCCTCTCTGTTCTTCTCAGGTGACACACACAGTCTTTGCTCCTTTCTCTGTGTCTCTTCCATGGAATTTCTCTTGAGAGATGGAAGTTTGGTCCATTCGGCTTTAACTTTCCCTACGAGTTCACAGACGGAGACCTGAATATCTGCATCAGCCAACTCAAAATGTTCCTGGACGAGTACCAGGACACCCCATTCAAGGTGGGGAGAGTTTATATTTCATTACAACCAATCAATAACAAATCTAAAGCCGCACGATTTAAACAGTGTTTTAAATCATTGTTCTTTGTCTTTTTTTTTGTTGTCCCTCTTTCTGTTTTATCGTCATCACTTTAATCCTGTCCCAGTAATTCTTCATTTTCACTACATATCCATTGCTGTTCTGGCAGTAGGCATCATGAACATTCCAATGAAAATAACCTTCTGGCTCACCCTCTGCTACTTCATATTAACTGGTTAAGCAACTCCCACCAAATGTATAACCTAAATTGCACTCCAGCCACTGTCACAACAAAACTGTCTTATCCACTCTGCTAGTTATGTCACACTTAGAGGACAGAAACACTGACATCTGATCAATACACACGTGGAAAAAAAGTGGAAAAAAGTAGCAACTGGTGTGTTCTGTACACCATTTGTGCTCTCAGCCCCATGTGGCGAGGAGAGTGAGTGAGAGAGAGCTGCCACTAACAGACACATGGAAGCTTGATGATGCAGTTTTTGCTCGGGGGCTGTGATTGGCTAGTGTTGTGCAAGCTAATTCTGATCGTTTTCTGTTGTTCCGATCAGTTTATTTAAAAAGCAATAATACAAAGGTTGCAGGAGCTCACAGACTCAGATCAGCATTTATTTAAAGGAAACCTTTAATTGAATATTGTTAATAATGTGCAAAGATCAAAAATTGTTATTGGAACAATGTTTCCCACTGTAGCTTTAATTGCTAATGTGCTTTTTTTCTTCTGAGCACTGTGGAGAACTGATATGTGAGCTTACAGAATCATAGTCCTTTGTAAGTTTCAGAAGTTTTTGTTTTAACCAGAGAATGTGTGTTACTGCTTGTTTATATGCCTGTCCAGGTACTAAGATACACTGCTGGAGAGATCAACTATGGCGGCCGTGTGACAGATGACTGGGACAGACGATGTTTGCTCAGTGTGTTGGAGGATTTCTACTCTCCCAATGTGCTTGTTGATGAACACAACTACTCTTCATCTGGAGTCTACAGGCAGATTGACACAAATCTGGATATCAAGGTCAGATAAAGGCCTAAGACCTCGAAAGATTGTAATAGAAGACATGCATTTGTCTTCACCTTTGTCTAGCATCAGTTTGTTGCACCCCTTACTGAACCCCAGATTGGCTCACTGGTCAGGATAGATCACTTTGACTGAAAATCACATGCTGTAGTATGTGAAGTATCTCAGTTAAATCCAAGCACAAAACGTCTGTACTGCTGAACCTCAAACTAATTGATGACAATTACTATCAGCAGTTATTATCAGTATGTGACCTCACATGGTAAATCTTACCCTAGGGTTACTTGTCATACATCCGTGGTTTGCCCATCAACGATACACCGGAGATCTTTGGTCTCTATGACAACGCTAACATCAGTTTTGCCCAGAATGAGACTTTTGCCCTGCTGGGAACCGTGGTTTGTCTCCAGCCTCGAACTGCCTCTGCTGTGGGAAAAACTCATGAGGAGGTACAAAAATACATTGATGAAGGTGTTTTAGTACAACTTGCATAATTAAAATGTCATGTTGTGCTTCATGGATGATTGTCCTCTTTTGTTCTCTAGATAGTGGAGGAGATAGTGGCAGGCATCGTTGTAAAGATCCCCAAGCCTTTCAGTGTTCAGGAGGTGATGAAGAAGTACCCGGTCCTCTATGAAGAGTGAACACAGTGCTCATGCAGGAGGTCATCAGGTAACACAACAGGCTGTACTATTAGATAACAACATAAAACACACATTGATGCTCTGCACCCACTTAAGACCAAGCTTTTATAACTTGCTTTTCACACTGTTCAACACGTTTTTAATGATTTAAAATAGTATGATCGTTTTAGATGCAGACAAAACCAAAGTCATGACGTTTTCTAAAAAATCTAAACCATCTAACCTCCCTTCGATCTCCACCTCTCATGGTGCACAAATTGAGTCTGTATGGAGCGACAGATATCTTGGTATTTTAATTAATGAGTTTCTTTCTTTTACTCCTCACATTCAGCAGCTGGTAAACAGGTTAAAGCTGAAACCGGGATTCTACTTGAAATTTGCCCCTCTTTTCAATCTAAGAAGAGATTGTTTGCTGCACTGTCTATTGCTTCAAGTCCCGTGGGTTAACTCTGAACTTGGAAAATCTGCTTTTAGCTATTTTGCTCCAAAAATGTGGAATAATTTGCATCCCACTCTTGTTTCTCTTGGACAAATTAAGACAATTATGTCAATCCACTTTACCACAGTGTGTGATTGTTTCTTTCTATCTCGACATCATTGCAAATGAGGGAACACCTTAATCATTTTCGAGGCTTCAATCAAGGTTTGAAATGAAATGTCTGTGCTGGACTACACTGATGTATTATACATGTACGCCTCCTCACAAAGCTAGCATACTAATTGATACTGTGTAATATGGAGCTCTGAGGTTCATCACTCATTTTAAATCCCTCTCTCATCACTGTTTATTGTACGCACATGTTGGATGGACTTCACTTGGACAACAGGCTGTAAAATATGCACAACTTGATCAAACTAATAAACCAAAGTGACGCCCATGTCCAGTTATCTGGATGAAAACTAGACAAACATCAAATGAAAACATGAATAACATAAATCATGAAAACGTCAGTACTAAAGTGGCGCTTGTATCTTTTTTTTCTTTCAGATATAACAAGTTGCTGGAGGTCATCTCGCAGAGTCTGGGTGATATTGTGAAGGCTCTGAATGGTTTAGTGGTGATGTCATCAGAACTGGAGCTTATGGCCAACAGTCTGTTTAACAACCTGGTGCCTGATATGTGGAAAGCTAAGGCAAGACGCACACCACTTTTACGATGCTCTTGGTGATACCAGTGGGCTTATAATCACTGTTTAACAAACACACTTCAGAATTTGAAATCTTACAACTTGACACAAAATGTCAAAGTACAGACAGCTGCTGCTTGTCTGGAACTGAACCTTAAATATGATCTCCATCTTTGTTTGTTTGCATCATGTTGGAGACATTACTCAGATATTCTACCTTAAGAAGCTTTATAATAAACATTTTGATAAAAGTTCTTTAATTCTGTTACCAATGCAGGATCTTCTTTCTAACAATAAATACCTCTGGTGGTGTGTCTCTCTCACCCCAGGCCTACCCGTCTCTGAAGCCTCTGGCCTCCTGGGTGTCAGATCTGCTCCAGAAGATCAATTTCCTGCACAGATGGATCTATAATGGCATGCCACCTGTCTTCTGGATAAGTGGCTTCTTTTTCCCCCTGGCTTTTCTCACCGGAACCCTCCAGAATTATGCCCGTCGCTCGGGCTTCTCCATCGACACTATTGGATTTGACTTTGAGGGGAGACGTAAGCTGTTTATCAGAAAGTCTGTCATCTGTCATTTCTACTGTTTCTGTCTCACTGACAAAAAAACTGCTCTGCTCTGCTACTGTATCCTACTGCCAGGTTTTGTGGATTTAAAAATGTATTTTCTTTTACGCTGACTTTTCTTGTTTTCCCTTTTCTTTTTGTTTCTTTTCTACCTCAGGTTGTAGTGAAGCCAGTGTCAGAGATAACAGAGAAACCAAGCACAGGCTGCTATATCCACGGTCTATTCCTGGAGGGTACTCGCTGGGATAAGCAGGAATGTCAACTCACGGATTCCAGGCCCAAGGAGCTCTACACAGAAATGTCGGTCACCGCTCATCCCGGAACCTAACCGTAAACCTCCACCCACTGGGGTCTACGTGTGCCCCATCTATAAGACCCTCACACGTGCTGGTTAGTCTGCGCAATGTCAGATTTAAAAATGTATTAAATATATTTTCCTTTTGGTAGGGAAATAGGCAACTAAAACCTTTGCTGCATCATTAACACTTTCTTTAGCATGACTAAGCTCTTGTGTTTGTGTGTACCTCCTCTTGGTGGTTTTATTACTCTATTTAAAAATAGACTCCAGTTAGTGTCCTGTTTCATGAAGCGTCTAAATGTGCAGCTCTGTTTTTTCCATCCACAGCATGAAGCTGACACCTTCATGTTGGCACATTGGACCGGCAGAGAACTCAGTGTAGTAATGGAAAAATAACTTACTATCTGAATTTTCTCACTAAATGGCTTTGTTTGCTTTGTAGGGACTCTGTCTACAACCGGTCATTCAACCAACTATGTGATTGCAGTGGAGCTGCCTACAGATCAGAGTCAATCAGAGTGCATCAAACGGGGAGTGGCCCTCATCTGTGCATTGGACTACTAAACACAAATACACACATTTTTCCTTAAACAAGAAAAAACACCTGTGGTGACTGTGTCTTTATTTTAAAGCCCACATGGTAAAAATGGGAAATGGGCTTGAGTTGTATAGCTCTTTTCTAGTATTCTGACTACTCCAAGTGCTTTTACACTGCATGTCACACCTACCCATACACACACTGATGGCAGAGGTTGCTATGTAGCGAGATCATCAGAAGTAACTAATCCCATTCATACACATTCATACACATTCATACGCCGCAGGAAAGTGTCTTGCCTAAGGACACATTGGACATGTTGCTGCAGGAGCTGGGGATCAACCCTCAATCGTTCCACTTGAGAGACTATGACCTGTGCTTTAAAAGACTAGAAAAGCACAATACAAGCTCAAGTCCATTTACCATTTCCTTCTCTGTGACTTTATACATCCACATAGCCTACATCTCCTCCTTTAACGACCAGTTGTAGCTGTTATCAGATGTTGAGAAAAGATTCAGAACCTTTACAGAAATTAAGGATGGTGAAGAAAAACTTATCATAAGAGCAACATCTTCAAGTTACTCTAAAATACATAAGAAAAGTAAAAGAAACACATATTGAGCAAATAAGTCTGGGAAAACATAATCTTACAGCGTATTATTTGTGTAAAAACATTGTATTCTGAAACACGGGGTTACTGTATCCTACTTTATTTAAATATTCTGTGTTATTGATATTCTGTCTTGAAGATGTTTTGAGAAGTCAAAACTGCTATTTCTCATTAAGAATGGTGGTAAAATAAAGTACAAAATGACAGCCAAAGAAAATGGTCAAGTATTAGACAACACATCTTAACTGATCTCTCACACACCTGCTTCAGTAATAATTATGGCAACAGAATGAGAGCCTCAGGCCTTTCCAAATTTCCCATTTGCTCTCGAACTTGACCCAAGTTTTAAGATTGCAAAGAAACTGGAAATCCTTATCTAGAACTTTGTCTGCAAGACAAAATCTCGAACCCCTGAAGAGAAGACCACCTGACTGAAAAGCTAGGTCTACAAAGCTAAACTCACCGGCTGGACCCCCTGTGGAGGAGACCCTGCAGACCAAAGTCAGAGCTGCTGATTGTCACTCACTGTGGTTGAAAAAAGATGAGTATGAGTTTCTGACTGAAATAAAAAATGAAGTACTCCAAATGCTGATCGTGTTTGAGTGGATTTCATCACTAGTGAAATACTTCTTTTCAACTTCCACCCTAAAATATTATTGTATTTTAATCTGGTGCTTGTTCATCATTCTAACATAGTTTCTTAGTCCACCACCATGCTGCTGCCATTCACTGTGTAAGTGATACATACATACAGAATGAGCTACTACTTTGTAAAGAAAAAAGTAACGCAGAATACTTTAAATCAGCATAGCCTGGTTATTTATGTGATATGACTGATTTACAAACTCAGAGATTATAAATCTGATTTATCATCATTTATTTTTCTCTCCTTTTATCTTACTCGACTTCATGAGCAGCAGACCAGTAATAGCTCCTGATTTAGCTCTCACTGTAAGTTCAATTATAGAGACAAACCTGTTTATTCATGTAAAAGTAAATTTAATCAATCACGTTTTTTTTCTCATCTTACTCCATCACAGCCAGAGCTCCTGCAGTTCCCTTGTGGTGGTCAAAACAGTAAAACAGGATGGAATACAAGGACAGCAAATTCAGCACATCTAATATTTGCTTGACGGCAAAGATAAAGCAATGACCTCTGACCTGCAGGAGTAGTAAATTAATAGTCCATTAGTGTAAATCATTTTATATTAACTTATTGTTGAATACAAGTGGCTAAGAAATATGTATTTCTTGTTTTCTTCTATTTCATAGATCTGGGCTTGATCCTGGATCCCCTGTGATTGGACGTTAACCAAACTACACAAAGCATGTATGTCATCATTCTTTCTAAATCTAACTGGTTTGTTTTGAATTCAATAAAGCACTCACCCATCTTAAGGAGTATTGGTATTTGGTGAATTGATTTCCCTCGAGGGATGTTTGGCTGGTGGAAGATTTTCTAAATGTAATCAATTGAAAGTGTTACAAAAATGTGTAGTGGTTAAACTACTCCTAAAAGAAACGTGTTATCAGGAGCCTCTTTTCAACAAGAAGTTACACAGAGTCATCTAGATCACTTTGTAGAACTCTGAACAGATCTATTTAAATCATTACGGCACAGAATGAAAGCATAGAAACAAATCAACAGTTCAGAGGAATCATCACAAATCAGTGAAATTATTTATTTCAAACATGTATTATATTCAAATGTTATTGCATAGAAATGTTTTGGTACATGCAGTTGTCACCTGTATAAAGAAAAATTACATTTCCTCTTGCTTCCCATCATTGAGCCTGATTAAGCATCCCTGGCTGGATGATGGTCTGATGGTTCTCAAAGCTTGTTTGATATTAGCTGCAAAAAACATGGCGTGGACTGAGTGATAAAACATCCTCATGTTATCTTTGTGTATTTTACACATGATGTTTGTGCTCTTAATGATGTATCAACCATTTCAAATTTCAAAGTTTTTCCTTCCTTGCTGTGATTCCCGGACTGTGGGGATTGTCATGACACACTTGGTCACAACTTCCCACACTTCATAGAATTTGAGTAAAGGTGTTTTTGCTTTTGCATACAGCACATCTGCTCTTGATCATGACCTGTAGGATGTGACTCATGAACAGTCTACTCTTTATTGTACTATGAAAGTTTGAGTTTTGTTTCTTTTTCTATTACAGTTATTTCAACACATATTGGGTAATACATTAAAAGTTATTGGCTCATCCTTATGAAAGTGTCTTGTAATCGTGTCTGTCCTTTATTACACTTTTTGTTTTAGCAGGATTTTGTCAGAGGATAACAATATAAGAGTTAGAGTAGTGAAAATCACAATCCCATGAGTCGCAGGCTGGATGAGAAAAATGACTTAACTGTAGGTGGGTGGTGCTTAAATCAGCAGTGACAGTGACTGGCCATGTCAACACAACCACAGGACTCCCGATGAACGGGAAGCTGAGCTCACCAGGATCAACAGAAAATCCCCACTGTTGCTGTCTCCTCAACATTCTGACTGGAATTATCCTTTTGAGACTTTCAGATGTTTGTCTTTGGATTTCTATGAAGACACATATTTAACAGAGAATACTTCTTAGGTAGATGGACAAATATTTAAGTCGAATGAGAATGAATAGTTATTAAGTTGTGCAAACAATGTTATTGGTTTTCTGTGCTACACTCTAGGTTCATTTGGATTAATCTCTGGAGTCCTCACAAGTCTGCGGCACCAGGACAACCAGACGCACCAGCGGTTTCTCCCTCGCAGCTTTACAAAATTACCGGAAGACAGCAGGAGTCAACGCATTGATTGACTCACGCTTTCTTCCTCTGCTGGTAAAAACAAGCCGGTGTGACCATGCTACAAAATGAAAACAAAAAGGACAAACCGCTGCAGGCACCGAAGGCTGAACCTGAACCCGACTCCCCGGTTCTGTAGGAGTTATTAGGGCCCGAGCACCGACCTCGGAGCGAGGACCCTATTGAAACTGAAGGAGTTATTCTTCTCCCTTGCCTCAATGAACTGCTTAAGTGGGGGCTTTAACATGCACAAAAACTCAACAAACTTCACCCAAAATTCAGCCTCATGTGAAATTTATGTATGAAAGTGGTTCGGTGCGTGGGCGTCGCCGACTGGCTCCACCGCGCCCCCAGACATCACTTAGGGTACTACGGTTAAGCTACATGCAAAAAAATTGGTGAGTCTTATGTAGCGCAATGAGACGAGAAAAAAAAAATGCATTATGACCATACTCTTAAATGTACAGGAAGTGTGCTATGTACAGTGAAAGTCCAATTTTGGCTATTTTTCAGATTTCACCGCATCCATATTTGAACGCACTTGTCTGAGCAGTTCATCTGATCGATTAAAGTTTGGTATCAAATGAAAGTGAACAAGTTCAAGAGTCAAAGTTGTGTGAACTCACGAGGTTTCACCATAGGACGTGGCGGGCTCTCGAAGTTTGATGTCGCCAACGAAATAAATTGTAATTGTAATAAATAAACTCTGACATGTAGTGTTCTATCATCACCAAATTTGTCATGCAAGATGTTTGGCCATGCCTGAACACATTCATATTAGTAATTTCTTATATAGTCACAGCGCCACCTGTTGACAACAGGAAGTAATGCTTCTGAATTAGCACAAGCCATTCCCTCACAGTTGCTCATATCTCCCTCCAAATTGGTGTGGACCATCCTAGGACCTTAGACATACTACCTTTACGAGCTCGAAGGCCTGCGTCAAACGCTGTTGCCATCATACGCGTCGTTCACCATCAAACAGGAAGTAGTTATTTGAAGAGCTTAACATAGTCGTATACACATGAAACTTCATAAACATCATCCCAGTGTGTGGGTACAATGTGGGCATGGCTCAGTGGCGCCCCCTTGACATTTTCAAAAAGGCCTCCCCATAGATATTTTTTTCGCCTACATGCATGACAATTTTTATTCACATTTATCATGTCAGGACCTACATAAAATCCTCTGGCACACATATTCAAAACTCAACAGGAAGTCCGCCATAATTTTTTTTATGTAAGAAAAATGGCAATCACAGACTACCTATTTGAACAAACTTTACCGAGGGAGTTCATCCGATCATCACAGACTCAGTGTCAATGTGTTCTAGACATGTTTAAGATCGCCCATTGTGCCCCGCACGATTCTACATAACAGGGCGTGGCCATGGCGTACTGTCAAACTTTGATGTCTCTGCCCCTGTGAACTTTTCCAAAAGGCCTCCCCATAGAGGTTTATTTCACCTACATGCATGACAATTTTTTGGTATATAAACAATGTCAAGACTTACATATAATCCTCTTGCACCCATTGTCAAAACCAAACAGGAAGTCTGCCATATTTTTTTTTAAAAATTTAGAAATAATGGCCCCAATTTCGAGTTTCACATGCTACCTATTTGAAAGTACTTCTCGTTCATCCTCGCCAACTCGGTGTCAGTGTGTTCTAGACATGTTGAAGTTCTAAAGCTGTTTAAAACCGAGATTCTACCTCAAAGGGGCGTGGCCGCGGCATACTGTCAAACTTTGATGTTAAAGATTTTCAGCTCAGCTCAGTGAATCAAGTGAAGGTTAG